CGTGGCGCGGGGCAGCCGGAGCTGCGGCGCCCCCCAGCGGCGCGGCGGGAGCCTCACCCGGACCAGGTAAAGCAACGCAGACGAGACAACGTAAACGGAGGGATTTAGTGCGGAACAAATGAGACAGCTGAGCCTAAAGCCCGTGCATTTTAGACTATGACATTTATTTTCTTCAAGTAGGCATGTCTGGTACATAAACACCATCCTCAATTTTTTTAATAAACTGATTGAATAAAAACAGTCATGGAAAGTTTATAAAGGTGGTCATTTCAACTCCACCATACAGTGACCTTTACATTTAAGGCTTAAACGTTTCAGTTAATCATGTGAACTGCTGACATGCTACATTAATATTTACATCCACTCAAAATTATATAAAATACAAGCATTTTATTATTTTTTGAGTTTAAGAGTATTGCTTAGAATTACAAAATACAGCAACGTCTGAAATACTGAAGGTTTCATAAGAGCAGCAATTTTTCTTCCATTCCCAGTCTTAACTGTCCAGAAAATTACTAAGTAAAAACATTTACCATGTTACAAAAGCCACAAATCTAGGAACATGACCATCAAGTCTTAAATCACGTAACCTAAACATAAATGCAAATGGCAACCAGCAGATGAGCACGACATTGCTAAGGGCATGATAGTAAATCTCTGTGCTCTATGCATTACAGTCTTTTTTTTTTCCTGGTCAAAAAATAAGTGTTTAGATAGAAATTTAGAAGGCAGATTGGTTTGGTGACGAATACATCAGTGCTTCTGTCATTAATAGTGTAGAAGCACTTGGGTGACTACTGCTGAACACATTTATATGCATATGACAAAAACCTGTAACAACACAGTGCAATTCTTTCATTGTGATAGATCAGTAAAGAAATATCACAATTTTCCATACATGTGCTTAAATACACAACTTCTAAAAGCTACAGGTGAAATTTCAACCTCTGAAACCTATACTCAGTTTATTTTGCCACAGTAGGAACTGTGTGTACTTACATGGGTTGAATTTTGCTGTAATTCAACTATTATTTTTGGTCCTCACGTGCAAAAAAACCTACTTGGAACATTTTTCCCCTTCTCCCTTTCTTAAAGTTCTTTGTCAAAGACAGATTGAATTTATTTTTTTTCCTAGTGCATGACTTTTCAAGTAACTACTCTATGAAAAAAGTCCATAAACAGCTTAAAGTATCAGGAAAAAAGTCAAAGGAAAAGCATTTTCACAATCAAAGACAACATTCTGTACTTTTTTTTTTAAGATCATATAAAAAACCTGATAGTGTATAGGTTCTCATTTCTATTAAACAAAAAGAATTCCTGTTGTACTCAAAAGTAGTTTCTCAGCATATGCAAACTGTGAATCTTCCCTTATTCAGAATACATTAATTTAGCCTATAAAAATACAATATGGACAAGTTCTTCTCATTCCCTGACATAAGAATTCACAATTTTGACACAAAAATTGTAAACTTCTATTACATTCAAAATACATTTCTCAAGTCTTTAGAATTTAAGTTCTGAGGTGTCGGCAGTCGGAGCTCTTGGTATACAGTAGAAGTACATTATTGCAGACCCTTTACACAGAAGTAGCTTTCTAAAGTTAAGAGAAACTTACTCTTCCCATATATTTTTGTTGCTACCAGGAGGAAAAGAAAGGCTTCCTGCTGTGAAAGGTCTGTGTGAACGCATTACTCAGATGGACAATGCGGCCCTGACTTCCAGTGCTGCTTCGCTCTACAATCACACGTGGCATCTGGACAAGCTGAATGGGACTTTTGCCATCCTTTAATGCCTGAGTAAGGTTTAGTATCTAAAACAGTAAAAGCAGGTAAGGTGAGTGCACACAAATAAAACTGTAGCTAACAGGCTTATAAATGTAGATGTCACTCTTAAGTCAATTCTGTAGGGGACTGCATTGCCAAGTAAGTTCTTTTAAAGGAGAAGATTTTAAAGAAGTAGAAATATTTTATTTGGTAACATTATGACATCCTACTGCTATCTGACTATCCTTCTGTTCTTTTCTTGAATATTTCATGCAGTCCTCTCCAAATTTACTCAGTTTTTGTAGTCTAAAAAATATACCAGCTGTGATGACAAATTAAATATATAAATAAAAATGAAAAAAGCAGTCTTACCTGCCCCCTCATAACAGACATTTGGTTTTCAAAAGTAGCCTTGTCAAATCCTTTATCAGTCTTTATGAAAGAAAACAAACAGTTATTATAGGAAATTACCTGTTTCTTTTTAGCTATATATTTAGCATGCAAAATCATCAATTTCATAATACACAGTCATATTTAACTACATTACAACAATTTTTGGAAGCTTCAAATAGTCATAGCATGACATACAAAAAGGTCTGTTTATTGCAGCAAGTTCACATGCATAAAAATGAAGGGTGTTCCACATCATAAAAATAAAATACATTAGTGGATACCACTCTAAAGCACTGGTAGGAAGACGTAATACCATCACGTAACGTAACAGACAACCCAGAGTCACTTTGAATACAACTGAATCAAAGATACAAATATTGCAAATGTCTTTCAGGATCTAGTTTTGATGTTACAGCTTCATTTCCATCAAAAATTCAAGATTTCCATTTCTTTCCATCCTGATCATTTGGATTATTTCACTTGAACATCCAGCACAATTGCTTCTGGAATGTTTTAGAGAAGGATACTCCTTCATAGGTCAATATTGTAGCACAGTTTCAGTATCTTTAAAGTAAGTTTCACTTACTCTTGACTTACATGCTCAATATTTCAGCATCAACTTCACACAATGTATGTATGTAAAGTTAAGTGTATGAAAGGTACACAAGTATGCTTAAAAATGAAATACATTACTTCCTCAGATTACTACAACTATATCTTAAGTATGTAACAAGTATGTTAACCTCAGTTTTTACGCAGAGTTGTACTATAAAAGCTAACTACCATTAATTGATTATATGAAAGATATATAAAAGGTAAGTATGTTTTCAGCTGAGCTGATTGTTACCAATTAGCCACGTTAGTGACACAGTTTCCTCTTAATTATATAAACCCTTTCTACCACCCCAGTGTTAGATCTAAAATAGCACAATATCACGACAGACAGAAGTTAAATTCATAAAAATAAAAACCACCTAACTGTTCCATTATGGGTATTAGCTATTTCAGTAATGATCAATTCAAAGAAGCACTCAATTCACCTTAAATAGTTCATAAAGATCTTCACAAAGATCCTGTACGAAGTTCATATCAGAAACACGAGGAAGAACTAAGTCTCTGGTCTCCTGAGAGAAAGGAACCTTTGCCTGTGACAGCCAAGCCCAGTGAAAGGGATCTAATGCAGAACAACAGTACATTTACTGATCAACAAACAGGCAAAAATCAAGTTCTCAACTGCTTACCACTGACACAGTACACTGCTGCCTACTGGAAGTTCTCAGAAGCACCATTTTTTCACAGCATTGCTACCCCATATATACCTCTTTCAGCTACAGTTAAAATAACAGCTTTACAGCTACCTAGCCTTTTTTTCTAAACTGTGAAAATATAAGTAATAAAAAATTAGTTGAAGCAATAAGTAAATAAAAGTATATACATTAAATACTGTAAGCAACAATAGAGACCTTCTCCCAAGTTTAGTAATGCAGTTTCCTTTGGAGTAAAATAATGGCTGCAATCAGATGGAAATCTTTCAGATGTTTAACTTGTACTGAAGAATTAACAAAAAAGTAGCTACTATTTTTAATAAAAATTTTAGTTTAAAATGTCCTCTTCTAAGCATGCTGAGAAAAATATTCTTAACTTTTCAGATAATTGCTATTAAAAAGCTTTTTCAAGAAATATTAGTTTTACAACATTATCAGATGTTAAACAAGACAGCAAACAGTATCAGTTGTAGGAACCAAGAACAAGTAAAAATAACACAGAACTTGTCTACTTGTTCACCTACCACAATACCCTTTGTTTTGAAATAGAAATTTGGTCATTAGGAGACACCTTGCATAGCCTTGCACTCAAGTAATTCTCCACCATGGTTTTCAAGAAAACACGAGAAACTTGTTGGTAATTTTTTCCAATTCCACCATCAGTCAGTTTAAATACAGTAGTATGTTTATGAATAACCATGTATTAATATTGTTAAAAGGTATAAGGGTAAGAAAATATGAACAAGGACCAAATCGCATATGCCATTGCAAAATGTCATTTGTTGCTAACTTTCTGAAGAAGAATACCTTAATTTAAAACTCAATATATAACCTACAGTGATGATTTCTTAGTTTCTTACTACAACAATCAAAATAAAAAGTACTCATTTACAAGTTACTATCCTAAAACAAAGATGACTGAAGAGTGCAATACTTACATGCCCTCCATTCATCAGGATGCTTAAAAGGAAACGCTAAACCATTGTCAATTGCAGCAATTTTAATAGTAGATTCTTTAGTTATAGTCCACTGGCTATCCTATGGAAGGAACATTTTAAATATAAGTGATACCTACATGCTTACAAAAATAGTGAAATACATTAAAAATACTAAGTAATATACTTTATAGCTTCACTGCTTAAAGTCGACTTAAACAATACCCAAGTATTTGGAGTATCCAAATAAACCCCTGCACATATAATTCTTACTCTATCACCATTAAAAAGGACCTCTTCCCCAAAATAAAACATAAGAAAAGCACATGAATACCTGAAGAAATGTGCTTGAGCAACAGTGGGCAGTTTGATTATTATTACAGCCCAAACTAGTAAAGAAAAAACACAGAACAAAAAAATTTTCTAGCGATGAATATTTCTAGCACTGTTCTACCCAGACTAGCCAAATCCAAATAGTTTTTCCATTCATTTCACCTAGAATAATTTGCAGCTACTATATTTCTTCAGACCATGCACCAGGATTAAAGGCAGGCACTTAACCACCTGCAAGACCAAGTTACAAAGCTAAACAATCCCAAGAACATAGAAGTTTCAGAGCACAATTTTCTTACCTTATCCAACAGATCAAGTCCATCATCTTGTTTCTCGTACCGGACTAACCAGTTGTCATTACCTCTGTCTTTTAAACAGGAAAATGCATGTCACCACGCATCGTTTGTAAAGAAATCATCATCTAAAGTGATATACAATGACTAATACTGTAAACTGAGACTTTACCAAAGGAGTCAGGCAAAACTGTTCAGAAAGTTTTTTCCCATTACCATACCTGTGTTTTACCTTTTAGCTACTGAATATTCTGAAGTGTTTGAGATAACTGACTTACTGGAAAGACCAAAAATTTACCCAAATGTTCTTAGGTATGTATTACTGCTTTAGTTTCCTCAATCAACTGAACATACAAAGCCAAGAATAATTGTTTTCATCCACTTTATACAGAAAGATTGCCTTTAGTATGCACTTATTCTGGGTAAAGGATCGTCAGCAGCAGCCACCACAATAATGTTGATGGGGAAATGGAGAGGCCCTCCAAAATTATAGGTAGTTTGATGTTTGACTACATGGAGAAAACAGACTCCTTAAAGATACAGGGGAGTGGGGAAACTGAAGAGCCTTTTAGAAGCTGAAAATGTCTGCACTGTTCAGACAAAATTGAGACATTGAAGGCTTTGACAAGGTCTTTCAGATACAGGATGATTCCATGGGTTTGTAAGTCCTTCTGGCATCTTAAGGTGCTCCCTTATGTTCAGTTAAACATCCATCAGAAGATATTCGTGCTCTATCATGATCAGATATACCAGATGAAGGTAAAATCAACCATGTAATGAGGTTTTACATTTTGAATATTTTCCTTACAATTTTAAGAATGTCACAGGACACAGTAATTGTTTGAAATCAAACTGGGATCTATTTTATTGTATTGGGCTTGAGTGGCAAAGTTTTGGTAGCAGAGGTGCTACAGGGGTGGCTTCTGTAGAACCTTCCTCTGTATCTGAGGGACCCACCACTGGCCAGTGGTAGCACCTCTGTGATAATATATTTAAGAAGGGGAAGGAAAAAAAAAACTGAGCAATGGCAGCCAAAGAGAGGAGTGAGAATATGTGAGAGAAACAACTCTACAGACACAGAAGTCAGCAAGGAAGGAGGGGAGGAGGTACTCCAGGCACCAGAGTCTTTCCTGCAGCCCATGGTGAAAACCATGATGAGACAGGCTGTCCCCCTCCAGCCCATGGAGGTTAACAGTGGAGCAGATATCCACCTGCAGCCCATTGAGAACTACACACTGGAGCAGGTAGATGTGCCCAAAGGAGGCTGTGACCCCATGGGAAGCCCACACTAGCAGAGGCTCCTGGTAGGACCTCTGTGGACCCATGAAGAAAGAAGCCCCTGCTGGAGCAGGTTTGCTGGCAAGACTTGTGACCCTATCGGGGACCCACACTAGGGCAGTCTGTTCCTGAAGAACTGCTGCCCATGGGAAGGACCTACACTGGAACAGTTTGTGGAAGACTGTCTCCCATGGGAAGGACCCCACACTGGAGCAGAAGAGCATGAGGAGTCCTCTCCCTGAGGAGAAAGAAGCAGCAGAAACAACACGTGATAAGCTGACCACAGACAACTCCCATTCCGCATCCCCCTGCACCACTGGAGAGGGAGGAGGCAGAGTAATCAGGAGTGAGGTTAAGCCTATAGTGAATGAAGGGGTAAGGGGAAGGCGTTTTAAGATTTAGGCTTTATTTCTCAGACCCTACTCTGATTTGATTGCTAATAAATTAAACTAACTTCCCCTGGTCAAGTCTGTTTTGCCCATGACAGTACTTGGTGACTAATCTCCCTGATCTTACCTCAACCCACAAGCCTTTCATTATACTTTTTCTCCCCCATCCAGGTGAGAAGGGCAAGTGATAGAGCAGCTTTGATGGGCCCCTGGCATCTACCCAGGGCCAACACACCACACTGATGAAGCTGACAGACCACAGCAGCAGCTAGAAAGTATTATGCTTTTATGAAACTTTCTTCTTTTAGTTTGCTCCTAAAAACCCACAGGTTAGAGTGACTTATTTTCAGCTGGATTCCTTCCTAATAAGCAAATTTAAGGAAAATTAACTACAGCTGATGTTATCTGCAGAAAAGACACTTGCCTTTCATAAAGCAGTAAAAGAAGTATTTCAAATATAAAACTGCCTTTGGATTCCTGAGGAAATAAGTCACCTGCATAGTCAACAGAAGAATCCCAGCTTCCGAGTTTAAGAAGCAAGAATGCAGGAGTACTAAGACATATGTCTCAGCCAGACTTCAGTGTCTAGTCAAAATGAATATGAACTATTTTGCACGGATGTGAAATTGTGCTGTTATCAGCTCCAACTTAGCATAAAGGGAATGGTAGTCATGGTTTTTCTCATGATTCCTGAAACCACACCACTTACCTTCACCAGGTGAAACAGACAGTTAATAGCTTACTGACAGAACTAAAGGATAACAAAAGTTTGTTTTGTTTTGTTTTGTTTTTTAATTCTTACATTGCTTAAAAATATCAAGTAACAGTCAAAAAGGGTTGTTTGGATTTGTCATACTGTAATTTTTAATGCTTGAATCGAAAGTAAATATTTTAAAGTCTAAAATGCAACATCCTGGCCTTCAACTGTGAGAAAACATCTGAAATGCATTAAAAACCTTCAGCAGCAGCTTTCAGTCAGCATCGATTACCATTTCTGCTTCACAAAAGTAGACAGATACTGAGAGACAACAACAAATACCTGTATTTCTGATTACATAATCCAAGATAACCAATCTTTCAAACTGTGACTGAAATTCTTTCCTTGTGTTCTCAGGTAAAGGATCAGTCTCAAACTTCCTGAGCCAGTAGTCAGCTTCCTTATATCCTTCAACAAACAGCTGGAAGGAGCCAACCTGAAACATTAAGAAACAACATTTGGAAAATGCACTTGGGTATGCCATACAACTAATCTTAACATTAACAGAAAAACTGATTACATACTTCCAAAGTTCAAAACACAGGAAGTACGACAAAACAAAACAAAAAATTACTAAGTGGCTTCTCTTTCATTCTTAAGTTCTAAAAAAAAGTAAGACTCCAATCACAAGGGTTTTTTTTCTGGGTTTTTTGGTTTTGGTTTCATTTTTTAAATATTTGTTTAAGCACTCACTGAGTTTACCAGGAATAAAATGTAGCCAGACAGCTCAACATAAATGAACATTCAGGAGCAATATTTGAAACTAAAAGAAAGAAATAACATCCATTCTCTTTTTCACTGGAGACTCAGTTCAATAGTTCATAGGAAACTCACCAAAAAATACAAGAGAAAAATCTTCCTCTCTGAAAAGTTCATATGTTTCATTGATGAGAATAGCAGCATTAAAGATTTTTTCCAAGACAGATACTTCTTGCATGAAAATGGCTGGAATATATTTCCCAAAAGAGTCCAAGGAAGAAAACTACAGATGGCACAGGCTCCATATTTGTAGGCAATGGAAAAGGTGCTCAAGATTAAAATTCAAAAGAAGACTTATATTCAAGTGGTAAAATGCAGATAGATGCATACATGCAGAGACGTGGTTATACAGATAGCATGTGGAGTAACCATGCTGATACAAGCTTGCATAACACGTCACATGGATCAAAATTGCTGGGAACTGACACAAACGTACATAACCAGTGTTTTAAAAGTTTAGGAGTAGAACACAACACTGATATTTTGGGGATACAATAAGGCTTATTAGGAAATGCACAAATAACTTATTTTTTATCTTACCTTAGGAGGTAGTCCAATTCGATTAAATTTTTTAGCAACTTTTGGCACTTTCTCTAAAGCATATTTTTTTCCTCTTGACTTTGCACGATCTATTGCACTGTAGTTAAAGGTCTCACTGACAAGCCAGACAACCTTAAAATACGAAAGTTAAAAACATAGCTAAGAACTCCTCACTATTTCAATTATAAAATTTACAGAAAATTTTATGCCTAGTTGTCAAAAAAGCAAGAAGGAAGCTGCTTTTTGCTATTGTGATGCATCTCACTAAAACATATGGCACAAAAAAGTGTCAGAAAATGCTAGAAACGGTAGTGGTTCTAAAGAAGAGATTCAATTCAGATCACAAACTTTTCCTTGAAAATAAAATTCAGTCAGTATTCCTACACCAAACCATTGTGCCTTTTGAGTTGAAAGGGCTTAAAAGCAACTTGGAGATAATGCAGGATACAGAAGGATGTCGCCAAAACTACAGTCCAGAGACTGACCAATCTGGTTTTTTTGGGTTATGGGATTTTTTTTTTCCATTCAATAATTCACGTATTTTAACTTTTACCTTAGTTTTAGGTACAACTCCTAGCCCCAGCTTGTCATCCACAAGATAGGCACCAGCTTCAGAGAGGTATCCCTGATTTGGAACGAGGCAGCCTCTGCCAAAGCAGCAAGGACAACAAACTTTATGAAAATATTTGGTCCATTTTGGATTTAGATGTCCATAAGGCTCTTCAGATTTTGGTTTGAACACTCCAATAATTTTCTAGGATAAATAATATGAAATTGAAGTATGAATGCTTTGAGTTATTTGAAAGTACTGGTTAGATACTATACACTGTATTTTACAGTTGCTCTTTTTTAGATGATGAAATAAACTAAAAAAATGGCATTCCAAATAAATTTCTCATCAAATGTCTGCCTAGAAAACGTACAAATTCAAAATAAGGTCTTCATTAGAGAAAATCAAAACTAGCTAACATTTACTGTGATTCTAAGGTTACATTCAAAATCATGAGCAAGTTCTACGCAACTGCACAGACACAATTCAATTTATACCTACACAAAAGATTACGCTTACAATATTCTATGCAATGTGAAAGGCCAAGATGTTCTCTGAACACTTTTTTTTTTTAATCACAACGCTATGGAAACTGAATTTACTTGGTATATTAGTATAGTCAAAAGTTAGGTTTAGAATTGTTAAAAGTTATTTAATTTTTTTTTGTGTTGAATCACAGGTATCTACCTACTCAAAACAAAGCTAGCAGCTTTTCATTTCCCAGAAATGTAGCGGTGTATCTGGTAGTATATGCCAAGCCATTAATTGCCTCTTTTCTGAATTGCCCTTTGGATCATACTTCCTACAGACTACCCGTTTTAAAAAGGAGCTTAGTTCATTCCATCCCCTGCGTGGACTGTACTGTGCTATACTATCAAATCTAGATATGGTTTTCAAGGTCTCACTGAAGTTAGAACCTTGTTAACTCCTGCAAAGCCACTGCTGTTGAGGACCAGAGCAGAACCAGAAGGCTCACTACATAGACAACTTATCGAGACCAGTCTTAATTTTGCAAGTCAAACCTAATTTCTAGACTGACTCCATTGACATTACCAATTAGTCAATTGCTAAACTGTGAAAAACATATTACAGAACAGTTTGTAACAGACACTATGTCTTTTATTTTGTTGGTTACACAATGAGCAATAAATGCAGAAATATGCAACGCTTCAGCAATAATGCTGCTTAAGTACTGAACTGCTTCGTATCAGCACACAACTATGCCAATAAATGCAAAGAGTTAATAATTTTAATTAGGCAATTTTAGTTTTGTCTTTCTGATAGACCCAAATTGGCAAATAAGATGATCGAATGGAAACAGGTCATCATTATTTTACCTGCATTTTGCTATTAGTGTGGTTAAACACTTCAGAAGCTGACCAGTAAGAAGGCTTTGCAAGCCTTTAATAAGCTCTTCCCCAGCATAAAAGGAGATTAGTCAAGAACAGGAGAAAGCAAGTCACAAAACTGGTCTGAAGCAGAATGATGCAATTCTCTGTCAAGCAGGATGTGAAATCCGCGCTACAAATGGGAGTTGTACTATTGACAAAATCAAGTTTTATGAGACTTAATATGGATAACAAATTCAGATAAGCTCTAAATTTGGTGCAGATAATTAAAGCAAAATTGAAAGTCAGCTAGGAACTCAGTATCATTATTCTTACAGACCCATGTTGGCAAATACTTTCATATTTTGCAATGAAATTTTTCTGGCCCACATAAAAAATTGTGGTGTTTTTAGTCTTCGTTTCTCCTAAATATTTACAATCAAATCAATGATCTCTGAAGGGGGAGGGCAAGTCACTACTAGGAACAAAAACAACACTTCACTGCAAAACAGAAGTAAAACCAACAAGAAAATCACCACATAAGAAACAAGGAAATAAGGTGCTCCATCCAAAATACTACGGTTACAAAAATTATGGGCAAATACTCTGTCACTAGTCACAGGGCACAGTGCGTCTCTCAGGCATTTGCTAGTCACCAAAAAACTGCAAAATCAGTCTAAAGAGGCTTCAGACAACACAGATTTGCACATATGGAAATCCAGAACAAGTGTGATTTTTTCCTAGTAATCACTCTCCTAACTAACTTTCTAAGAATAAAAAGATATCAATTGCACAGCATTAAGAAACTCAACCCTCCCCCCCCAAAAAAAACCCAACTTAAACAGTTTCAAGGCAGTTTTAGCCTAACACTGTAGAATACTCTTTTAGACACATCATGCATTAAATTTTTCTTAAAAAGTATTGATTTAAACCAATATTTTTTTACATACGCAGATTTTTCCTATTGTATATTAAATAAGATATAATCCTAATTTAAAGTATCTCTTCAAAACCAGTATGAAGTCAGAATATGTATAGATAAGCATACGACCTGAAAACCTACAAAGAATTAAACTACTGAAGTAGGGAAGTGACCTGAAATTTTAAAAGTCTGATGAAACTGAACAGGTTTTCATATTAACAGCACTGTATGTGACAGCAAGTATCCTACAAAGCAGGTAGAGAATATTTTTTTTCCTTCCAGTTTCAAAAAGAGAGACATCCTCCTTCCCAACCTACTTTGGCTCTCCTCCACCAAAAGGAAGAAGGTCGTTATTAAAAGATGTTCCTGCAACACAGGAGTATGAACTGCATTGTGCAGTTCTGAGAAGATTTTTGAAGGGGTAGTTCTGCCTCTTTCAGTCTTAGAAGTAAGTTTTATTTCTTTCTATTAAGCCAGGTATTCTAAAAATCACTCATTCAATAAACCGTAAAAAATATCACCAGAAAAATGACATTAAACCAAACCTCTATGAAAATTAAGTGGCAAAACAGGAACATATTCTGTAACGACCAATAATATAAAGCTAAACAACAACAAAAACAAACAAAAAAAAACCCAAAAACCACAAACCCAAATGAAATCAAAGCAAAAAAACTCCCCAAACAACTGGGAAATGACCATTTTGGGGATGCAGGGAAGGATAACAGCCTTGAGTATCTTCTGAAAACCTAGGCACTTAAAGTGTTACAACTTCCATGTCCAACACAACTGTGATCCTCAGGATTAATGAACACCTACATCTACATAAGGCCAGAAGGCTGCTAACTGTGCTTAAAATAAAATCTGATATGACAAATTAACAAAGGTGTAGGGATTGGGAGTCTTCTTTTTTGGAAAAGGTTGGTAAGCAGTCCAAGTTTTTCTGATTTAAAGAAAACAATGTGAAAGTATGTCTGAAACATCATTTTCTCTAACTAAATAAGGCTAACAGAATGTTACTTTGCAAGCAAGATACTCAGGTGACTGTTACTTTTCTGTCTCAAAGTAACCTTAGGAGACCTCTTTGATGATCACGATTCAAGGTACCGTTTACCACTAAGGGAGGGGAAACCAAACCTTCAAGTTAAGATTCAGAAGACAAATACAAGTGAAAAAGGTAGATTTGTTTATACCACTCTTCTTGCCCATTTACCAATCATATAGGAGGAAGGAGACATGACCTAAATAAAAGACTACCTAAAAAGAAGATAGATAAAAATATAGGAGGCTTGGCTAAAGAAAGCTAAACAGTACCCAAATCAGAAGCACAGTCGTGTCAAAAATCAATCAAAACATACAAAGAACAAAATGTTAGATTATGCACAAAGGAACTCCTGAATTATTTTCAGATGTTAAAGAGGCCCTTTTATTTTCTCCATATTTATTTGGTGTAGAACATTCAAAACACAGTAAAACTGCAACAGAGAACTTGTAATTATTTTGACTTAGCTTATGCTGCAAGACAAAATTAGACATCTAAATATTAATTGCACTGAATTTTCCAACAGATTTTGGCATACCATATTAACATTAAACAACTTTTAAAATTAATTTCCATTTAAATAGAATTTTAAAATGTCCATTTTTAAACCCATTGCTGATAGTGTCTCTGACTTTGCAGTAACATGCTCACCCCTTTTGGATCCTTGGCAAAGTAACTTCCACTGGACCCTTGAGAGATTCTTTCTGGAAAAACTCCACACTCTATAGCTTGTTCTGCTCTCAGAATGATTTCTGCAAATTCCGGATCATCTAAAAATATATTCAAATCAGCAGTATGTCCTGTATGCCCTAAAAAAAAACACAACAAACCAACAACAACAAGAAGACAAACGATCTTCAATGTAATTTGTACTACAATTCAATAACAACATAAGTAAACACACTGGAAAGTTAACAGTCTCCCTTGCTAAGGTCCATTCAACAACAGGCTGAAAAATTTGGTCCACTAAAGCCGTGCAAGTTTTCCTACTCATTTACCCACATCTGAGCAACCTTTTAAGTAAACCAGCTGAATCTGCAACAAGTAATTTGAGACTACAACTGCAAAGTATTTATACTCTTCAAGGATTTTTTTTAAAGCATTTACATAAGGAAGCCTACAAGAAAAAGTCCCCTAAAAAAAATCACATCTGTAAAACAAGGTGCTAAAGATCTTACACACCATTTAAAAATTATTTTTGTGTCCTTTTGTAGAGAAAGCTACCTGAAAGCAAACTGTTCATTACCCACTATTAGAATGGTAATAAAGTAATAAAAATTACTCTTGATGTTTTGAAATGCCTTTCTGTAGCACAGGACATTCTTTGAGGTTTGCTAGAACGTTACCACTTGCTTGCATGAACCACTCACAAATAATAATATGGCTTCCAAAGAGAAGCAACTAAAAAGCATAAAACACAGGAAAACCTCAGTATAAGTTGGCAACATGAAGAAGAGCTTTAAAACGAACAACAGTTCATTCTTAAGGATGAACAACTACAACCCATTGGATCAGAAAGTTAGACTATTTGTCCAATATTTCTGCAATAAACTATGTTCAATTTTAAAACTGTTATTGGGACTGTTGGGGACAATCAATAAATTGCATTTCACAGAGTCAGCCACCAAGAGAGATGGAAAAGGTTCTAAGATTTCCCTGTCAAAGTACTTGACACGATACACTTATTTTTATGGAAAAAGGTCACTTTGGATCAGTGGTTCTTATTCCATATTCAAACCCCAACTATCTCTACACAAGAAACATCACATCATATAGCTCAGCTGCAACTACTACATATTTTTGTCAGTGAAAGCAAAATCAGGGTTGTGCATTATACTGTCACCAAACAAAATGCAACATCCATATTGAGCTGCTCTGCACATTAACTCTCCAGATGAAGAGCACCTACAGAAGAACTTTCTGTCACAGGGACTGAAGTTGTTTATGCAGATGACAACTTTCTCAGAGGTCAGTTTTCAGTTTCCGTGCATTCATTCCTGAATCTAAAATCATAAGAAGTGTCATTCACTACCTTGAGGAAACTCTTCAACCATGGTTTTTCTGACATAAAAGATAACTGCAGGAAAAATATATTAAATTAAAAATAAAATCAAAACCAAACCACATTATGCTGTATGCTCAAGGAAAAGGAAAAAAATAATTTTTGAACCTTACAATTTGTTAATTATTGCTACTGTGCCACTAGAAAGCCTTCTGTTAGCACAGTGATGAGGCTGTACAAAAATATATAGGTTGAAAACCAAGAAACTGGTAGTTTTAAGAAGTTTCCTTTCAGTTTATCAATACTCTCCATATGAAAATAAGCCATTTGCAACTGAAGCTGATAAGCTTCTTTGTTATTAGCCATTTTATGATTAGCTAATAAGCTACTTTAATTGAAGTATTTGCTGAACGTAACAGGGTTTTCTGAGTTGATTTCTTCTTCAAAAATAATTTTAATCAAGTTTTCCACTGTGAAAGCATGTTATTGTCACAACTTACTCCCAATAGAGTCTCTAAACTTACAATTATAACTAATCAAGGTTTTTTTTCTTGCAACAGCTCTTGAAACAGCTCTCTTCTCATTGAACCCCCACTCGAAGAGACCAGCGCTCACACATACAGCGTCTAACTACCAAGCTCAGTAACTTCTTTCAAATTCATTTGGACAAGGCCTAAGGTTGCCACACTTGAATGATAAAAATGTGTCAAAGAAGATATGAATGCTATCATCCAAACTGATACATTTTGCAAGAGTAACACATATGATACTAAACTAGCTTTATACTATTTTAACAGTAACATAATTAAAGGTAGTCCCTTCAATCAGTTTCATCTTGTTCTATAGAGAGGCTCATATTCTGACCACAGTCCCATTATGGAAACACACTGTGTTGCAATAACAAGTCTGAATAACACTGGTGCATGTTTGTTCCACTTGATACATAAACAGTCCTGTACCTTCAGGTGTCAGACATACAGAAAAGGCAAGGATAAGGAAGCAAGAGACGAGATACTAAAATTAATCAAGTTCTAAGATTTTCTTACATACTCTCAGGGCAGATCCCAAGAAGTTCTCCGCGTTCACCATTAGCTGCCCCATTAGTGCCAGACCCACGGCTCTAATCTCCACTCTGAAGCATTAACCACTGTGGTTTGCTGGAAGCACTGTCTCATTAAGACATCTTAAGCCTTGTCTGAACAAGACAGGAGAAGTCTAACATTTTAATGGCATGTTCGCATTACAGCTCTGGTCTACACTTCAGACCACTGGTTAAAAGATGAGATTTTTCTTCTTATGGTTAAACATAGTACACTAGGAAAAGTTCTCTATAGCTACTAAAAAAAGTTAAGCATAATGATAATAATCATAACTTATTTTGCTCAAATTGATGGGGTTTTTCTTCGGATTTAAAAAAAAATATCCTAACGTTGCTAAAGAAACAATTTTTAGCAGTCTCTGGCAAGAAATCCTATGGTATAATTACAACAGTAAACACTATTACATGCTAGAAGTCCAGATTTGTCAGCAAACCTTTCCTAGATGTACATCCATTTACAAAGTTAGACAGAATCAGAAAGCTTGAAAGGCTAAAGAAAAAATGTATTCAATAAATATTGTGTAGCTTATCATCTTGTCTGTATATTTAGAATTAGGTAATGGCTGCACTTATGCTTCTTTTCAAATTCATAAATAAGATCTTGCATTTCTGAATTTTCACATCACATTTCTGAACTTTTCTTTCTCTTTTCAAGACTGGATTTCAAAACACAGAAAGGAGATAAATTTTATGAAAACCAAAACTACAACAGAAGAGCCCACATCTAGAACTCTTAATACATGTGATGGTACAAAGAAGTGAACACATGACTGGAGCAAAGAACAGAAACAGGACAATATTTTTACAGGATGAAAAGACAGGGGTCACATGCAAGTAATTGCTGGAATAGGCGAGATGAATAGAAACCTTGACAGAACTCGCCAAGTGTTCAGGAAGCAGCAGCCAGTCCCACCACAGAGCACAGACTGTAAAACATGCAAAGTCAGAAGTTCCAAAAAACATGACAGAAAGAAAGCAAAGCCCAACAAAACAAAAGACAGAGAACAAGGAGGAGCAACAGTGGAAACACTCACAAAGATGTAAATGCGCTCTTGCAGCCCTGCACATAAAGACAAAGCACTCGAACTTGGAGCTGAATGGCACTTCCCCTTCAAAGACCACTACTCGGCGAGCCCCTATGCCAAGGAAGGACAAGGCACCTGTCTTCCGATAAACGCCCGTAATGAGCTCCCTATGAGATAAGGGCACCTCAAGGAGGCACCTAGCACGGCACACCAAGCGTCCTTTAGTCCCTATTTCGGTAGCTTCGCTGGCAGGGCAGGGGTTACCTCTCCACTTGGAGATAGCTGGGGTACCCTAACGCGTGCAGCCCTTCCCTGCTC